GGCGCGCCGCCCCACCTCCTCCGCGCCAGCCCCATCGCCATGCCCTACTCCGCCTCGTCCTCCGCCCTCAGCAAGCTCTCAGAGGAGGAGGAGGATGTGCACTCGCCGCCCCTGCTCTCGCCTGCGCTCCAGGTAGGTTTTGGGCTGCCCAAAACCGTATCGGACTCGGCGCGCCGCTGCGTACTGCCTGCATCGCCGGCTGATCCCAGGGGCGGCCCTTGATCCCAGGGGCGGCCCTTGCACCCGCCTGCTGCGTGCCTCCCGAAGCGCACTTCGACAGCCACTTGAGCAGCCTGGGCGTGCCAGCACCGCCTGTGGAGCCGCCATCCTATCCGCACGCCCTCGACTGCCGCCGCTCACCACGCGCCGCCGCCCCGCGCCCTCCCTCCCCGCCTGCAGGCCAGCGTGGCCGCCTGGCAGTCCGCCAACAGCCTGCTGCAGGAGCTGCATTTCTTGCAGCAGCAGCAGCCGTTTGGCAGCCAGGCGCCAGCACACGAGCAGGCTGCCGCTGCGGCCTCGCTGCACCACCACCTGCTGCTGCCCGCCTGGGATCAGCGCCCCGGCAAGCAGGCACACCCACTGTGGCTGCACGACGTGATGGCGCAGCACGGCGGCGGCAGCGAGGTGAGGGAGGCGTGCTCCCCGGAGCGCCACCTGGCGGCCGCCAGCGAGGCAGCCACCGCCACCGCCGCCATGCACCCGCACTCCTGCCACTAGCGCTGCGGCGGTGCCAGCCCTACTAAACCCAACACACGAGCCCTGTAGCCATGCACTAGCACTAGCGCGAGGACTGGGTTGCCCCCTGCTCTCCGGCCCCGCTAACATTTTGACCACTCTGTCCGACTGTCAGTCCAATGCCTTACTACACTTTCCCCTTTCTCTCCCCGTCTTTTGCACGAGCGCCCCTGTGCTGGGTACCGAGGCCCCCTGCCCCGCCAGCCCTGCACCTTTCTCTCTCCCTCTGTATTCCAGGCACCCGCGCGCAAGAGAGCCCCCACCCCTCCCTTTCTTTTGCTGAACCCTCTGCCAAGCATTGCATCGCACTGCGCTGCGCACCCCGGGTGCCAGCCACGCCCTATTCGGCACCCAGACCTGCACTAGAGGTCCCCACCCCACCCTCCACCCCGGAAACCCCAAAACTCCCCCTGTCCCTCTGCGTGCGTGCCATCTGCCTTGCATCGCCGCCACCCCAAACCCAAACCCGATCCCTCACCTCTGGCCTTGCCCAGTGGTAGCCGCAACTCAAGCACCCCCCGCTGACTTCGCCAGGACCCCACCGCGGCTGCTGTGGCTTCCTGTGGCTTCCCGCGCGCCTGCCTGGGCTGATCCCACCACCCCCCTCGCCCAATCGGCACCCCGATCGGCTGTACCCGCCCCGCCAGGCTCCCATGTTCGTTCCCTAGTCTTCTGCCCTCTTTTCCCTTGCCCCTATCCCTCTACCCAATGTGCTGCTCCTGTCCCGTCTCTTC